TAATGGGAACAAAATAAAAAATTTGCTACAAAAATTTAGGATAACTTGCAAATGTTACTTGTATTTAAGGATAAGAGAGGAATGATATTTGTTGACTTGTTGCTTATAAAAAGGGATGAAGTAATTCTTTTAAAAATACTTATTTAAAAAATATTTGAATAAAATAACTATTTTTATAATTAAATTTTTAAAAATTTAATGTGAAAGGTAATAAAAATAAGAAAACATTCTTTTCTATCTACAAAGTTTTAACTATCAATTTTAAATAAAAAATAAGTCTTTTTTACTTAATTTATTTACTATTTAAGATGTATCTATCAATAGCATCTGCAAGTCATAAGATGGGAATAATTTTTTTTTAATGGGCATAAAATTTTTTATGAAAAAATTTATCGCCATCGAAATTTATGAAGGCAACCCATGTTATAAATTTCGGCAATGATAAATTTTTTTATTAAAAAAAAACTATTTCTATCTTATGACTTTTTCCGTAAAGATAATCTTTTAGAATATTATAATTTTTTCTTATAGGATTACCAAGTGATTTTCTTATTTGTATATTTTAAATAGTGAATAGATTATGAAAAAAGACTTAATTTTTTAATTTAAAATTGAGAGTTTTCAAACTTTTAAATAGGAAAGAATGTATTTTTATTACCTTTCACATTAAAATTTTTTAAAATTTTAATTATGAAATTATTATTGTATTCAAATATTTTTAAAGTAAATAAATTTTAAAAATAAAAATTTTTTAAAAAAGAAGTAGAAACAAAGGGTAAAAAGGGAAAGAGAGAAGATAAAGAGATAAGGAGGATGAGATGGTTGATTATGAGGAGAAGCCAAAAACTCACATGTGGCAAAGTGGGCCCCATGGACAGAAGAAGTAATGACATTTGTTGGATTTAACAGATTTGGTATTTGTGCCCGTTTTAAAAAGTTTATGGATATTTTGGTACCCATGTGATTTCTGGCATTCTTTTTTCATATGACATGACAATAGCTGAATTTGCCTCTTCGCTAGTAGTTATAGATTGTTTCATTTATTTTTGAAATTAAAAGAAATCGACATCCAAATCCACAGGATATATAAATAATCACAGCCACAAGATATTGTAAGAAATAGCTTTCACATTAGGTGGGCTTGTTAATTTTTACTCAGAGAGCCTCATTATTTTTTTGATTTGGCATGTGATTTTGACTTTTTTTAAAATGCTAATCACATAATAATTATATAGCTAGTCAATTATTTAATATTTTATGCTTTTCAATGTTCTCTTTAAAGTATAAATATTTTTCCCTTTATTTCATTAAGAAATAATTATTTTGGCTACATAATTTTTTTTTATTGTTTTTCACTCAGACTCTTTAGTTATTTCAGCAATATTTAGGGGATGTTTGGGTGATTTTTTCCCAAACCATGGTTTGGGAAAAAATCACCCAAATACCCTTAAAAAAACCAAAACCATGGTTTTGGCTCCAAAATCATGGTTTTGGAAAAAGCAAAAATTTTTTGCTTTTGAAAAAAAAAAGGAGAGTGTGAAAGCCTATAGGATATGTATGTTGTTGTTTTTTTTATAAACATATTTTTTTATAAATATATTTAATCTTATATCTTATAAATATATATACATATTAATTATTTATTAATTATATTATCTTATGTATTATTAATTATGTTAATAAAAAATATATTATTAACAATTTTATTCCTTCAAATTAAAATATATCATAAAATATATCTTTTCTGTAATTATCATATTAACTTATTCCTTTTTTAGTAATTTGTACATGTAAAGAGTGCTTTTGGTAACAACTATCCAAACACTCTCACTTCTCAGAATCATTTTTCCACAAAATCTATTCTTCAAAAAATCTATTCTCCCCAGAATCTATTCTTCAGAAACTATTCTCCAAACTATGATTTGGTTATATCCAAACTGTCTTTCATTGCCAATAAGGCGAGTGCAGCAGATAAGGTGGTCCTCATTGAGATTTTTTTTTTCCCCCAAAAAGGAAGGCATATATATAAAAAGTAGATCCAAGACGATAAGACTAGTAATGATGGCGAAGCAACGAAAGTTGGTCCCAGCTTCATCCTATCCATCTGTAGTTTGGTCCAACCACCTTCCTATCCATACTCGCCTGTTCAAGCCTCTCGGGTCCCAAAAGGCCGAAGATCTCAATTATTATATTTTGGTACCCATATGATGCCTGGCATTCTTTTTTCATATGACATGACAATAGCTGAATTTGCCTCTTCGCTAGTAGTTATAGATTGTTTCATTTAGTTTTGAAATTCAAAGAAATCGACATCCAAATCCACAGGATATATAAATAATCATAGCCACAAGATATTGTAAGAAATAGCTTTCACATTAGGTGGGCTTGTTAATTTTTTTAAGCTACTCAGAGAGCCTCATTATTTTTTTGATTTGGCATATGATTTTGACTTTTTTTAAAATGCTAATCACATAATAATTATATAGCTAGTTAATTATTTAATATTTTATGCTTTTCAATGTTCTCTTTAAAGTATAAATATTTTTTCCTTTTATTTCATTAAGAAATAATTATTTTGACTACATAATTTTTTTTAATTGTTTTTCTCTCAGACTCTTTAGTTATTTGAGCAATATTTAATGTCTTTCATTGCCAATAAGGCTAGTGTAGCAGACCAGGAGGTCCTCATTGCGATATTTTTTTACCCTAAAAAGGAAGGCATATATATAAAAAGTAGATCTAAGACGATAAGACTAGCAATGATGGCGAAGTAACGAAAGTTGGTCCCAGCTTCATCATATCCATCTGTAGTTTGGTCCAACCACCTTCCTATGCATAGTCGTCTGTTCAAGCCTCTCGGGTCCCAAAAGGCCGAAGATCTCAATTATTTTTTTTTTTGGGTGAACGATTAAATATCTCAATTAGTTGTTACATTTAAAGTGAGGAGGGAGTGTTTTGTAAGGTTCTTTTTCAATTGTCTTTTTACACTCTGCCTCGATGCTTTTACTGTCTGCCCCATGTTTCTTTACATGTCCTCGTTTTCTTTGTTGTATTTTATTGCCGGGCTTCATAGTTATCTTTCCTATTATGTTAGGCTGTTGAAACATTCTTTATGTATTGTTTTACTTAATTTTTACTACAATTGTCCCTTATAAAATTTTTTTGTTGATTTTGTACAAATATAATTGGCAACCAAAATTATGTTCCGCACATTATATCAGCAGTGAAAAAAGAAAATCTACTTAGAATATGAGCTAATTATTGGCTGAAAAATTTGATGCCTTTCAATTAAAAGACAAGAGGACGGAAATTTAGATAGTTTTTTTATGTTACGATTCTTAAATTGCAATATCCTTAATGTCATATTTTGGTGACTGTAGATTTCGGAACTGGCTTGACCCTGGCTAATAATTGCTTGTTCCTCATAGTTAAAGCTGTTTCCTTTATTTTATTTATAGTTCATTCATTACTTTGATGTGATTTGTGGTATATCCAACACATTCATATTATTATTTTTTACATTCAGTATCCTAAATTATAAATAAAACTATAGTGTTAGATGTAACTAAAAAAATAACACTGAGTGCTAAATGCACTAGAAAAATAAGATCAGGTGTTGGATGCTACTTTACCTTTCAATCAACAAGTGGGAAACGAAAAATTGAAAACAAATGGAAACATAATTTAACAAAACAATAGAAAACAAAAATACTAATCCCCTTGGCATCTAATACAGGAATTAGTTGAAGGTTAAATAGTTTGATTCGGTCAAAAATACAATACCTCAATTCATATTATCCATCATATTTATTATTTTTTTAAAACTAATTTATTTAACTTGTGAACTAATTTATTATAGTAAAATACATCAACCTCCCATCTATTTAATCTAGATTACAGAGCCATTCTTTTTATTTTGAAAACATATATGTAACTCCATTAAAATAATAATATATGCTGTACAAATCTCTTTTCTAGTTTTAAAATTCAATTTTCATCCATCCAACCTTTAATTAATCATTAAATCATAGCGTTGACTTGTTATTTTCATCAAAATGTCCATTCTTATCACAAAACAAAACGGTGACTAGAATATTTTAGTCTTAATATTATGAAAAATATTTTAGGAAGATACATCACATTTGTTGTAATTAACTTATTTAATTAACTTTTATGACTTATTTAAATTAGTTAAATAGTTCTTATGTGAAAACCCCTTATCATCACTGTTCTATAGTCCGAACACTAACAAGATGTACTGGGTAAATATGTGACACCAAAGATGTCATTGTTGTGATGAGTGTGTAAGCATTGAAGGGGAGACAGGCGGAGAGGAGAGCAAGGGTCGACATTATATGTGTAGCAGTTGGAAAGCTTTTGATGCAAGCATTGCTCCTAGTTAGTGATGAGAAGATGAGAACCTTTGGTGAGTTTCGGAATACTTTCAAAAATTATTTTTATATTTTATGAGATAAAACTCTTTATATATATATATATATATATTCGACAAAGGGAAAATGACCTCTAATAATATCACGTTTTCTAATATCCCTTGTGATGCAAACTCTCAAATGTTTTTTCCCCCTAGTAATCATTAGATTCTATAGAAAATAAGTGACATTTTGATATCTTATCAATATCAAATGATGTAATTTAGAATTTTTTAATGATTTTTCAAAAGAAAGATATTTTAAATGTGTGCAGTTTTGACTTTTTCTAAGAAAAATTGTAAAATATTTAAATTCATTTACAAATAACCTAAACCAAATAATACGACCCCTGGTGATGCATTGAAACCGTGATTTTAGTTGATTCTATTTCTGTCACGATGGAAACAATTTTCAGGAAGTGCCATATATGCATCTGTGAGTCTTCCCTCATCTAACCTTTTTCTTGAATGTTAGTTGTGTACGCGCGTGTATATATGCATGCCTCCCTCTGATTCTGAACGAAATTGGGTCTACATTATTAGAATATTCGTTCTTTCCTTATTTAATCCTCTGTGATGGCATTGGCCTCAACTTTTCTCAGCTCTTTCGTGACTCCAGTTCCTACTACAAAGGTAACTTAACGATCATTTTATTGTTTTAAACACTGTAACTTATAGATATATATTTATATATATATATTTAATTGTAAAGAGCTACCATTCGCTGAGTTGGAGGCATATTTCTACCACTAATCCATCTTTAATTAATTGTTCTAGTTATTGAAGGTAGGGAGACTTACTATAAGGTCCCAAGGAAGGAATGTATTTACTGAAAAGTTTCGTAATAACTGAGCAACTTATAATAACAAGTTTTGACGTAGGAATAAATGACAAAAAATTCTATCTATTTACTTGTCATTGAGATTTTTTTTTTTGATAATTATTATATTTCTTCCTTAGAACTTTACAGTAATTCTCCTTTAGACATATGGCAACTAGCAGCTATTGTTATTGTTAGCATGTAATGTTAAAGTTTCTCATTATTGTATTATAGAGGAAGAGTTTGTCGGGATTCAACAAATCGGCCGATTTGAAGTCAAATCATGGAAAAGGATTTAGACTAAATTGTTCTATCAAAAAGGAGAAGGTGACTAAAGTCATTGTGGAGGATGGTATAAAGACGAAGTGCTCTTTATAATTAGTCGGTTTATGCTGAGCGTTGTTTGTCACTATAAATATGATGATTTTTGTTCCATACATGTGTAAATAGTTTTGGGCTTCTATTTGCAGAAAAAGAGACCCTGGAGGCTAGTATTTCTACAGCATTAGTGAATTTCGAAAATGGGTTTGATCCTTATAATGCAACAAGTACTCCAATTTACCAAACTGCTACTTTTAAAATGGTGAATATACATTTGATTTGTAAATTATTGTTCTTTAATATTCCATGATATTCTTCTTATATTATAATTATCATCTATACTTTTTTCTTTTCACGCAGATTTCTGCAACAGAATTTGGTCCTTATAGTTATACTAGAGGTCGAAATCCTACCCGTGATGCTTTGGAAAGGTTTGATTTGTTGTCTGGGGAAAAATTACAATTAAAGACAACAAATTTTGAAAATTGTAATGGAAAATTAAGGTTTTTAGTTGGAATTATAATTTTTCAGAGTTGATTCTTTCAGTATTTTACCTTTCGTTTTTTCAACTTCATTTTAAATTTCTTTAGTGCTCATCTTGAATATTTGTATTACTCATTTTTATTATTTTTAATACTCAATTATTATTTTTAAATACTTACTTTTGGTGTTTTCAATTATCATTTTTCATTTTTGTAATATTGAAAATATTGAAGAGAACTACTTGAAATGGAAGAATGATATGTAGGTATCAGGAGAGCTTGTTCGGATTAATATTGATAAAGATGACTTTTATCCTAACTAATTTTGCAAATTGAAATTGGAGTAAAATTTAATTAGTACAATGCGATTTATTTAAAATAGTAGTAGATTGTTATAAAAACTTTAGTTTAACAAAAACTCATTTGATTGATTATGATATATTGAAAACTCAATTTCAAGAGGTTTAAATTTGAAGAAAAACCAAAAGTCAAAATTACAAATAATTGCTTTTAATTTGATTTTTGTGCAAAAAGTCAATTACTTTTAAAGTGATGCCAAACATTTTTTTCATCGGCCGGCTTTTAATTTGTTCCAAATGGCTTTTGAGGCTTCCAATGCAAACGTGATGTGTTTAATGACAGGTAGGTCCTTGACAAACTTTTTAAACAAATTATTTACTAATAATCAATTTCAGTTTTAAAGGAAGGGGTACTCAATTTGTAACAGTAAAACTTTTATTTTCAATTGTTTTTATAGAAAGTTGTCAGGACTTAACTGTAATGTCAAAATTGAGTGCCGCAAGAATTGAAAAGAGGAAAAATTCCAGAAAAAGCCTTTGGAATATAGGAAATTCCATATTGGTTCTGAATTTTGTAAATGACAGAAAGGGTCAATGATCCAATCTGTTATTTGTAAAATCAAGAGGAATTAACAATTTTACCCTAGCTAAGTAAAAGTGAGTAGTTATTCTCTAAACAAATCTAGGTAACAGTTACACTGTTCTAGTGATTACATAATTAGTTGTAGTTAATAACAAGGTACCTAACTATGAAAAAGTGAGTAATTATTTTCTACACGAATCTAGGTAACACTTACACAGTTCTAGTGATTACATAATTAGTTGTAGTTAATAACAGGGCACCTGATTACGAAAAAGTGAGTAGTTATTCTCTACACGAATCTAGATAACGTCTAAATCTTTATAGTGATTCCTTAAATCATTGTAGTGAATGAATACAAATGAGGGCAAAGTTGTCAATTCCTCTTAATTTTACAAATGACAAATTGGGTCATTGATCATTTCTGTCATTTATAAAATTCCAAGACCCAATATGAAATTTCCCATATTCCAAGGGTTTTTTTTTGGATTTTCTTTTGAAAAGATAAGTATTGAAAAAAGAAATTAAAGCTGATCGCTACTGAAACGTGAAAAAGAAGCACTGAAAAAGATCAACTCAGAAAAAGGGAAAAAAAATTCTAAGGAGTTATTTAGTCCTTGATTGAAATTTTATGAAACTTGCAAAATTTTTATACACAAGTAATGTTGTTGGAAGACCTTTGAATAATATATATTTTCCCCTATTAGTCTATATAGGTTTCCTCTTTGAATCTCATCGCCTTTCATTTGACTTATTTGTAATCTCAGGTTAATAGCACAACTTGAAAGAGCAAGTAGAGGCCTTTGCTTCAGCACTGGAATGGCTGCTTTGAGTGCTGTTTCTCAACTTGTTCAAAATGGTGCATTTCCTCATCTTGTTAGTCTATTTTATTTTTGTAATTTAAATACAGAATAATTACAAAGTCAAATTTCCCAAATTATGCAAAGTCAATCCTAATCAAAGTTTAATCAAATCTAAATCAATAGATACCTGTGATTAACCCCCCCCCCCAAAAAAACAACCGCGTAACAGTTTTGAGTCTGAAAAGTAATTTTTGAAGTTTTTTATTATATTTAGTTAGATTCAAATATTATGTGCAACAGTTAAGTATATAATAGTAATTAATAATACAATAAAAAGTCAAATTAAAAAAAATTCCAGCCTTTTAATTATTATTTTTTCTTAACATATTTTTAACATCAAATGATTTTTTTTTATATATTGCCTTCATTTTTCGCTAATAATTTATGAGAGTTGATATATTAAGGTTTTAGATTTGTGTTCTTCAAATATTTTCCCCAATAACCTACACATATTGAAATTCATATAATTTTATTTTCGAAGTTTTCATTTGAGATAATTATGAGTGATGACATGATTGCTTTTATTGTCATTGTATTTACATAACCTCAACGCAGGAGATGAAATTATTACTGTAGACGATCTCTATGGTGGTTCAGAAAGATTAATTACTCAAATAATTGCAATGAAGGGAGTTTCAGTGAAGTAAGTGCGATGTTAATTTTATCTTCATATCATGTTTATTTTGATTCTTTAATTTTATAAAATATTTTTCAATTCTTTAATCTTAACACCGTTGACAAAAGAAATGCTAATATTAAAATTTTAAATATTAATAAAAAATTCTTAAACACTGACATATCAAATTTAATTTTCAAAATAATAATAATTATTAAAAAAATTCATCGTTTGAAACAAACGGTGTTGGGTTGGTAAGGGGGAAAAAAGAAATAAACGGTGTTAGTGTTAAAGAATTGAAAAAGACATGAACTAAGACTAAATCCTGTGGGGAGAAGTATCCATATTTAATGCCCGACAGTATTTTGAATATGATTGTTTCTAATAAGAGGATATCTATGCATAGCAAAGAACTAAAAAAGGCACTTTATAAAATTAAAGAATTAAACTAAAACTTTTTTATAAAGCTGGAAGACCAAAAATACACTTTTTATGAATAGATGATGAAGACAAATTATTGTTGGATTGATTCCTAAATTTGTAATGCTTGGCTGTGCATGCGTAGACGAATAGATACAACTGATCTTAACAAAGTGGCAGATGCTGTTGGACCTAAGACTAAGTTGGTGTGGCTGGAGAGTCCTACCAATCCTCAACTACAAATATCTGATATTCGAGTAAGCTAATTAAATAATATTGTCTTTTACAATTTATTGGTAGTTTCTTGGCCTCTTATTTTCCTCTATTATTTTCTCATCTAGCCACTTCTTGTTCATGTATACATTATACTACCTTTAGTTCTTAATATAAGAGCTAGTTGACTGATTTGAATAAATTAAAAAATTAGCTAAGTTATTTATTTGCAATAAATAAGTGTTATCTTTCTTAAAGTATCATTACTAATCAAGTATATTGGTTAGAACTAACATTATTACAAGAGCTATCTTGGAAAAAAATGAATAAATATAAGAGATAAACTGGATTGAGGTCTTATATTTAGGATTGAAGTAAAAGTCAAACGAGCTTTTATATTAAGGATCGGAGGTAGTATTATACTACCGAAGAGCTAGATAACTAATTTGTGAATATTAAAAAAAATTACTTAAGTCAGTTTTTTGTAATAACTAATTGTTGTCGTCTTTTCTAAAATATTCTTGTTAATCATATATATTGAAACTAGATGAAAACTCCTTAACATGTGCAATTAATATATGAATTACTTGTGGGTAAAGTAGATAAATAGTAGAGATAGTTGAGGTTTTATATTTAGAACAAATTAAATCTCTAACTAGCTCTCATATTAAAGATCAGGGTAGTGTGAACTCTAAATATGTAATTTTGAATGGTTTATAGCTCAACCTTAGAATTTTTTTTTTCATTTTGTTGATTTAATTTATATGTAGAAAATATCGGAGATTGCTCATGCAAACGGTGCTCTTGTATTGGTGGATAACAGTATAATGTCTCCTGTGCTAAGTCAACCACTCGAACTTGGAGCAGGTATTTAATTGTATAATTAACCACTGCAAGATATAATGAACTATAATATAAGTTTAACAGCTTAATAATTAGCGATTTGGTTGTTTTTATTTTCAGATATTGTTATGCATTCAGCTACCAAATTTATTGCTGGGCATAGCAATGTCATGGCTGGTATCCTTGCTGTGAAAGATGAAAGGTGGCTCTTCTTCTTAAAGTGTCTCAAACACATAAGTTATTTGGCGACAATGATTTCATTTGTTTCTTAGCCATTTTTTTTCAATCCATTAATTATAGACTGGGAATTTCTGAATCAATTAAATTTCAATTCAATGACAAATTTTATCCCTAATTAAGCTAATAATAAAGAGAGGGAAAAAAAAAAGCAAAATAGACACACACAAAAAAATGAAAAGTTGGAGCATTACAAGAAGTATCAAAGGGTTGGGACATTAAAAGACCCAAAACCTCATTCTTCATGTGTTACGTTTGTTATTATGTCGTCAACTATTTTCTACTATATCTTTAATTTCATTTTTCATCTTCTATATATGTTTTATGCTTCTTTTATTCAATTAATTAATAATGCATCTATTTTTTTTTATTTAATTTTGGTCATCATCACGTAAACAAAGCTTGGACCAGCAACTGCAATTTTATAAAAATGCAGTGGGTTGCGGCTTATCTCCTCAAGACTCTTGGGTCTGTTTAGAAGGAATCAAAACAATGGCCCTTCGAGTTGAGAGAAAACAGGTAGCTTATCATGAAACATTCTAAGTTATTGATAGATTCAAGTCTCTTCTGATCTGCGATTGATTTTGACATGGTTATTGATAGATTCTAAGTTTGTTATTATGTTTTCCTCTCTAATTGATTCACCATGAGTACAGTATATATTGAATTGTTTTACATATTCACCTGTAAATCTGTATATATATGATTCCAAAATAAAATAAATTAAAGAAAGTTATTGGAAACGTACACTTGTAAATGTGTTAAGATAATGGTTTAACTTTTGAATGCTCGTGATCCTTTTATGATTTTCCGTTGTATTTTTATCCTATTAATTTGGACCACATGTGAGTAGTATTGTCCAATAGACTAATGAATTTTGAAATGTGTTTTTCAAAATTAGCTTGATAGTATCTATACAATTAAGTTTTCATTTTATAGTTTTAGTGCTAATACCATAACTCTTTAATGATATTATTATTTATTTGGATTAATACTATCTTCAGTCTCTAAAATTTGACTTTATTTTGGTTTTAGCCAATAAAATTTGAAACTAGTAGTTTTATTCCCTAAATTTTGACTTTATGATTTTAGTTCGCTTAAAGATTTTTCGTCCATAAAGCAGTGTTTTTAATTCAATCCTTGAAATAGGGTTTTAAGAAACAAAGTTATTGGTTTCAAATTTCAAAGACCAAAATCAAAAAGAGGTTAAATTTAAAGAATTTGAGATAGTATTAATTAACCCTATATTTGCCCATTTATTTTTATAAAAGAACAACGATAGTAAGAGAGAATAACACTATATATTTTATAGGATAATGCGCAAAAGATTGCTGAGTTTCTTGCCTCCCATCCTCGAGTAACGAAAATAAACTATGCTGGTCTTCCTGGACATCCTGGACATGACCTACACTACTCTCAAGTATGATTTAATTTAGTTGTTGAAATTAAATTCAATATTATTAATTTTTGCTAATTAATTAATATAAGCCTAAAGTGAATTTATCCATTATTCATCGTTTTCGTTCATGTTTCATAGGCAATAGGAGCTGGATCTGTGCTTAGCTTCACAACAGGATCACTCCCACTGTCAAAGCATATAGTTGAAACTACCAAATTCTTCAGCATGACAGTTAGTTTCGGTCAGTGTTTTCTGGGAATATTAATTATTGTCATCATGTAAATTGTTAATTATCAATTACATATATTGTCATCGATTATTATTGGTCTAATATTCCTGTCTCCAAGGTCGTATATATCAACTGTGTAATAAGGAATTGTTGGAGTTTTCAAGGATAACCTTGTCAATACTTTGTTAGTATTCCCTCTAGTTCTAAATATAATAGCTGGACAAGAGATTCACTCTTTAAACCTAAATATAAGATCTCAATTTACTTTGTCTCTCAAATTTATAATTTTTTTCAAAGTATTCCAATTGATTACACATACAGAGGGAGTTTTTATCAAGGATATAATTTGACATGATTAAATATGAAATCTTAGGAAAATTAATACTACCTCCTGTCCTTAGTATGAAACCTAGATAACTAATTTTAGTGATATTAAGAAAATTAGTTAAATTGGTTGTTTTTCAAAAATGTGTTTTGGTGTCCCTAAACCATCCTTTTCAATCATGTGCGTTGGATGATTGTAATTATTCCTTGAAGAGAACCTTTTACAATCAATAGAGATATTTTGGGAAAAATAGAAGATAAAATGGATTGAGATATCATATTTAGGACCAAATCCAATTCCCAACTAATTCTTATACTACCTCCCATCCTAATTATAAGACCTTATTTGTTGTCTATAAATGAGATCTTATAATTTGAACCGGAAGAAATGTTAAGGACCAGAGATAGTAAATCAAATTTTTCATAAATACTTAACTAATTTCTGAATATCCACAAATAAGTTATCTAGCTCTTATATTAATTATCAGAGATAGGTAGTAGTTGATAGACACATATATACACGTTGATCAAGTAATTTTGTGAATGATGTCTTCCTGGAAAATGCTGACTATATATATATATTGTGAAATGTTGTTGTTGGCAGGGGGTGTAAGTTCAGTGATATGCTTGCCTTGGTATACGTCTCATTCTAGCATTCCTGAAGAAGATCGTTTGGCCAGAGGTTTAACTGAAGACCTCGTGCGTATTTCTGTGGGGATTGAGGATGTTGATGATCTTATTGCTGATCTCCATAAAGCTCTCTCATCTGGCCCAATCTAATTGAACTTCCTATGTTAGTTAGTGTGTTTTTGGGCTAGGTTGCTTCAAATAATGTGTGTGCGCAATGGTGTGTTTTGTTGTTGTTGTTTAGTTGTACTGTATTTTTTTTTTTTGGAGTGAAATATTTGAATTGTATTATTAAATGGCCATCAACGCTTCAATTTCATCATTTGGAATAAGGTTGGTGTCTTTACCTTCCTCTCTACCTTCTTGCTTAATTTAATGATTTTTAATTTATCGATGATAATTATTTAATGATGATGATGTGCTTTGCCTCATGTTGGGCTTTTTTTTCCTTTTTTGCACGCTTAGCGGAATTTTAAAATTTACATAAAACATCCAAAACCCCAAGGTTTCTACCTCTATATCAATCTTTAAGATTTTATTTCCCAGTTAATTTCATTTTTGGCGTCAGAGTTTTATGCTTGAAGTTCAAAACTGCACTGAAATAGAGATGTCACCCGTTGACTTGGAAAATTTTTTTCATTCAGAAATAGTGTAAAATTGTTGATATATTTGAGGTTATTTTCATCTATATTTGATGGTTTTGAATTGTCAACTAATGACGTGTTATATTTAACAGTTAAGAGCTTATTTGGAATGGTGATGAGAACTTTTAAAAGGAGCATTTTAATCATAATTTTTGGAATACAATATAAATATATGAAAAAAGTCTTGTCTCAACTTACATAAAAGTCTTTATACTAAAAAGCTCCTAACGTTCAGTGTTGACCAAGATATTATTATCTTTGATCCTAATTATAAGACATTGTTTGTAGTTTATAAATAAGATCTTATAATTAAGACATGAGATAGTAATGTTTACAGTAACATTGTCTTCGGGGATAAAATTGGATCAAATATTCACTCACGTGTTTAAAAATATAAGAAATAAACAAGACACTATATTAATATTCGAGTAGTTGACAATACTGATGAGGGGTTGTCGGTGATTCCTAGTGATGAGGGGATGTGCATTTATATACTGCCTCCTCTCTTAATTATAAAACTTTATTTATATTCTATAAATGAAATCTTATAATTAAGACTGGAGGTAACTAATACTATCATCTTTTAGTTTCACTAAATTTTGTTTTATTCGGTTCATATTAAAAAATTAATTGAGTATAAAATTTACTCTAAATTCATGTTTAATTTTTATATTTTTTTACTTGAAATTAAGTTAGAGTGTAGGTTGCTTAGACCTCTATAAATAGAGGAAAATTATTTTTTATTTTTTAAATAAAAAAATGTATAATCAAATAATAATACAAAGCATAATTAATAAATCCCCATATCATAGAACAAGGGCAATAGAGTTTAAAACGAAAGAAGTATTGGGCTTCTTTTGAGCTCGTAATGTTAAGTGAGTGATTTTAGGCACGTTCATGTAGTTAAGACAAAATTCTTTTCTCATATATATATATATATATATTGACTCTCTTTGGTTCATAATATAAGACGTTTCTAACGAAGTCAGACATACTAATAAAAATAGTTAAAAGTATTAAATTTGCCATAAAATTTGAGTGTTTTCCAATATCATATTAATTTTTACTCTCTCACTACTCTTATTCAACATGGACACATATGGAAGAAATATTTAATACTCATTAAAACTATTAAAATATTTTATAAAATGAACTAAAAATACCTTCTAAAAGACTTCTTATAATATGTACCGGAGGGAGTACCTTTATTCTGTAAATCACTGTTATTGAAAAGCTGATTTTAAAATTTTTTGCGGCAGTTCCAAAGTCTAAAATACATAATCCAAAGCCAGAAAAGAAATCTGTCCAAGCAAAGAGATCCTCAGCGATGACATTTGAACGGAAAAGAGAGTGCAGTGTGTTGCCACGAACTACCACCACTATTAAAACATTAAGAAAATTCTCTAAAAATATAGTATAGCAGTTTTAAATGAATTTACACTACTACAAAAAATAAATTTAACGACGGTTAAAATAAGCTTTTTACGGTGGTTTTGAGACCGACGTCTATGCCATCGACGTAAAATGTAGAGGATTTCACGGCGGTTCTTAAACCGCCGTGGTATGTGACTTTTCACGGCGGTTATATAAATAATCGCCGTGGAAAATTTTTGTTTCTTTAAGCTACGTTTCATCCTACGGATCAGGAGGGAATAGGAGAACAAAGCCTCAAAGGAAGTCGCTTGCCAGTTAAAAGCATTTTGATGGAGTAAATAGAGATTCTTTCTCGCCGTAATAGCGTCACTTAGCTTCACCTTCGGCCACCAGATCGAAGCAACTAAGATTTAATAAAGATAAAATCAAAGACTCAGATCTGATAAAATCAAAGACTCAGATCTGCTAAAAATCAGATTTCTTTAAACTCAGATTAAGCATCATATTTTTAACTAAAGAAAATAATCATATCAAACCAAGAAAACTATGAAATCCACGGAAAGAATGGAGGTGAAAAACTCATAAATAAGAATGAAGAGGACGAGGTGATGGTGACAGCAACAGCAACAGTGACAGCGATGGTGATGGAAGAACATGACGGAAATGATAGAAGCAATGGATAAACGCCGACAAATGTAGGAGGAGGGAGAAAATCGAGTGAGAATGGTAGGGGGACCATGAGCTCTGACTTTGAAAAGTGAAAACTATCGCGCAGCGTGATGAATTTTAAAATTCTGATAGACTTTTACGGTTATTTAAAAAAAGTATTTTTTATGGAGGTTATTTAAAAAACCGCCGTTAAAAGTCCGCCTATAATTATAGAGATGCCACTGTCATATTTTTTACAATGTTTTTTCTAATAACTGCCGTAAATTAGCGTCGGGAAAACTCTTTTTTGTAGTAGTGTTATTAACAAAGAGTTAGTTTAGCGGTGTAAGACATGTTAAAATCTGAATACTAGAGGATGATATTCAAAAATGAATTTATTTAGATTTTACAAGCATATAATATCATTGATTTATACATATATACTCATATATATATATATATATATATATATATTGTAACAAACATGACATAGTATAAAAGACTTTGCTATTGCTGTTAAAACTTTATGGAGTCTTCTTCTAAGAGACTTCATGTTATCAAGCCTTATTTTGTACGGTGTGAAACTAGACTTTGGAAAAATTGACTTACTCTTATTATTGATAAAAGGGATATATACACAGATAGGTCTAAGAGTATTTACATAACAAAAAATGTAACTAATTTACAACAGTATAAATTATATAAAAGAATATCAACATTACACTTGACACCCCCTCGCAAGCTTGAGCAAGGATATTTTTCATGCCAAGCTTGGAAATGAGCTCATGGAAGCGTGTAGGATGAAGTGGTTTAGTGAAAACATCCGCCAACTGATCTGCAGACTTGACTGGCAGAAGGTGTATGATTTTTGCTTGTAGTTTTTCCAGAACTAGATGACAATCAAGTTCAATGTGCTTTGTCCGCTCATGAAAGGTAGGGTTAGCTGCAATTTGAAGAGTAGACTGGTTGTCACAGTATAAAGGGGCAGTAGCTAAATGAGCAACATCAAAATCAGTCAGAAGATAGAATAACCACTGAATTTCACATGTGGTGGAGGACAAAGCACGGTATTCTGCTTCAGAGGAACAACGAGATATTGTGGCCTGCTTCTTGGCTTTCTAGGAGATAAGAGATGAGCCAAGAAATATGGCAAAACCAGTTACTGATCATCTAGAATCCATGCAACTTGCCCAATTAGAATCACTGAAGCCTTTGAGTTTTAAATCAGAGACTGAAGAAAGGAATAAGCCTGCACCAGGAGAAGCCTTGATATAATGGAGGACTCTGTGTGCAGCTTAAAGGTGGGTATCTCTTGGATCAGACATGTATTGGTTGAGCTGTTGAGTGACAAAAATGAGGTCTAGACATGTTGTTATAAGGTACTGCAAGCACCCAATGAGTTTCCTGTATAGTTGAGGATTTTCTAATGGCACTCCCTTGTCTTTGGATAACTTGAGAGGAGGATCTAAAGGTGTAGAAGCCGGTTTGGAGGCCAGGTAGCCTGTGTCTTGGAGGAGTTCCAGGACAAACCTTCTTTGAGAAAGAAAAATACCCTCGTTGGAACTTGCTAGCTCAAGACCAAGGAAATACTGAAGTTCTCCAAGGTCTTTGATAGTGAAAGTCTGATCTAGCTTTAACTTAATAGAGTCGATTTCATTCATATCATTGCCAGCTAAGATAAGATCATCAACATATATGAAAATGACTGTAAAAGAAGAATTAGCATCAGTTTTGTAAAACAGGGAATGATCAGAGGAAGATTGATGTAACATCCCAAATTTTCTGACTCAAAATGAGCAAAAAAGAGAAAATTCATTAGAAAATTTTAGGAAAATTATTTTATGAGGCAAAGAAGTTATTGAGGCATAAAATCCTTAAAATGAGTTAACGATTAATTTATGGATTTAAGGGCTATTTTCTTCCAAAATTCAAGAAAAATAGGTAGGAGATGATTTTGACCCAAACTTTTTATAGACATTATTTTATGTGTCAAACAAGCTAATGGATAAGAAAGATCCATATAAACATGGTAGAATAATTTATGGGTTTATCTCAATATTTCAGAATTATAAAGGAAGGAAATAGATGAAGAGCAAAATGGTAATTTCCTCTTCTCACATGAATCACACGTGTGCCTCGCCCTTTTAACCATCAGATCACTTATCCACCTCCTTCGATTCGTTTCTGCTTTCCGTAGAGAATAGAGAGAGAGCGCGAGGAGAGTTAGAGACGCAGAGACGGCGACGGAGGAAGGTGAAGGCAAAGGTCGTGATCGGAGGTGCTTGGGCACATGCAAACCGATTAACTTTGCAAGGTGAAGCTCCTGATCAATCTTCCGTCTTTTTCTTTTCTCTTTTCAGTGTATTCTAGCTATAATGGAGGAGAGAGAGATGGGTTTTAGAGAGAGAAAGTAAAGGAAAGATGAAGAGAACCGGTGAACTCTTATTCCATGAGAAGACTGAAGTTGGTAGGAGTAGTTTTTGAGCTTGCATGTTCCTTTCTTTGTTTTTTTGCTGCTGTCCGAACAAGGGGTACATGTGTGGAATTGTTTAATAATGATTTTCGAGTTGCATGATTGATCTCGCTTCTGGTTATGGCTATCCAAATCTGGGTCAATGTTCACTTAAGGGG